CACAGCTCAGGGAGCCACTGGGCATATGGTTCCAAACAGTTTCATGCTCAAAGGGAAAGGAGTTTTCAGGGCCCCGTTTCTGGGGCAGGGGAGGTGGGTGATGATTATTATTACTTTTTAAAAATATATTTTTATCAATTTCAGAGAGGAAGGGAGAAGGAGAGAGAGAAATATCCATGATGAGAGAAAACCATGGATGGGCTGCCTCCTGCACGCCCCCCACTGAGGATCGAGCCCACAAGCCGGGCATGTGCCCTGACTGGGAATCGAACCGTGATCTCCTGGTTCCTAGGTCGACGCTCAACCACTGAGCCACCACCAGCCGGGCACGAGCAGAGCCTTTAGGCACCGAGGTCTTGTGGAAACCCAAACCTCTGAGGATGCTGCCTTCTGTGGGCCCATTTCCAAAACATGGGCCCTGGCTGGTTCCGTGGGCTTCCCGGAGGGGCTAGGCGAGTCCGCAGGCAGCAGGACACCAAGGCAGGCGGTACCGGGGCCCAAAGGAACTGCATTTACCTTTCAGATGGACGCGAGTCCCACGGAGGCGGCCCCCCGCTGGGCCCGAGAGGCCACGGTCCTCTTCGCCACAGGGACGGAAGGGGATGCTCACGGCAGCACCTGGAGGGAGGCCAGCCGTGAGGAGGACCAGGCCGCCCGCGTGGCCTCCCGGGAGCAGGCTGTGTTCGACAGGACAGTGCAGCTGCAGAGGATGGTGGACCAGAGGTCGGTGGTCTCGGACGAGAAGAAAGTGGCCGTCCTCTATCTAGACAATCAGGCGGACGAGGACGACGGGCACTGGTTTTGATGACGTCTTTGTGTTCGAGGGTATTTGGTTTCGTAATGTACCAACACGCAGAGGCCTTGGCTCATTGTAGGCGGGTGTGTGTTTGTGTGAAGTTCCTACTCTTTACTGAAACCTCCCCCTTCTTTTTAATTTCTCCAAAGAGGGCGCCAGGTAATGTCAACTTTCTTTGCAGCCTGGAAAGGTGTCGAATGAATGAATGAATGCGTGTCTTAAAAGGCGCTGGAGTTTTATCTGAGTTGGGGCTTTTCAAAAATACCGTTGATCTTTGTGGTCTTAAAAGTTTTTTGTTTTTTTAAAAAAATATATTTTTATTGGTTTGGGAGAGGGAGAGAGAGATAGAAACATCCATGATGGGAGAGAATCATGGATCGGCTGCCTCCTGCACGCCCCCTACTGGGGATCGAGCCCGCAACCCGGGCGTTGAACAGTTACGTTCTGGTTCATAGGTTGACGCTCAACCACTGAGCCACGCTGGCTGGGTTTAAAAGTTCCTTTTTTTTTTTTTCCCCGGGAGTTTTCGCTCCTGGGGACGGTTTGCACCAGTTTGCACCTGGTCACAGACACGCCTCGCACCTGTTTGCAACTCTACCTTTAGGTAAGCTGCCGCACCGGCAACCAGATAAAAGTGACATATTACAGAGGACATTTTCTTTGCATGTGCTACTAAGAAATAGTCAACTAACCTTGTAAGGAAGAAAAAAGAAAAAGAAAACAATGCACTTTTCTCTTTCTGAAGTCTTTTCAGAAAGAAATCATAGGAGATAAGCAGATTGCTCACTTGAAATCTACATGATTTCACCTTTAGGAAAAAGTGACACGTCATAGAGTTAAACCCACTGTAAGACTTGAATGAATTGCTTTCTCTGTACAGAAGTTTAGAAAACAGAGCATCTTATTTATGGAGAGGGTAGCTCCAGGCTATTGCGGCATTTCAGTTTTTAAAAATATTTTTTTATTGATTTCAGAGTGGGAGAGAGAGAGAGAAACATCGATGGGAGAGAACCATTGATCGATGGGAGAGAATCATGGATCGGCTGCCTCCTGCACGCCCCCTACTGGGGGTGGAGCTCACAATCCAGGCATGAGCCCTGCCTGGGAATCGAACCGTGACCCCTGGCTTCATAGGTCGCCGCTCAACCACTGAGCTATCCAGGCCGGGCTGAAAGCTTCGATCTTTAAAGGTGTAACGTCACGTTAAAACTAGTATCTCAAACACAACAGCATTATTGTAATCCAAGCTGGTTTCTTTCCCATGATGTTGCCTAGACTACGCTTTTTCTAACAATATCATAGAACTGCCCGAGTGCACAGAGGAGGAATGAGCCAGGTGGCGTCACCCTCAGGTAGGTCATGGCCTCAGGGGTGAGGGTGGCATTGGAAGTTCTCCCCTCTGGGTTTCACACGGACGGTCCTCAGGCCCCTGAGACGCGCATCTCCCCGGCTTCAAGGAACGTTTGGGGAGAGTTGGTCTTCGTCATCGATAACTGGAGGAGAGATGAGTGAGCGTGGTTTTTGGGGTGAGGATGCGGTCTTTTCCTATTTACTGTTGTTTCGCCATAATAGTATTCATGGACTGCTGCTCCCCTTCCCGCGGGCTGCTTCGATATTGTTTGTTTAAAATGTATATTGAGGATGGCCTCATCTAAAAGGCTTCCCTTGCTAACCTGCTCCCTACGAAGGGAAATGTCACAAAATGTGTAAAAATAAAAATCTAAGAAAAAAAACAAAACCCTGGCATTGCCACTCGAGAGAATGAATGTCTCCGGGGCGGGGGGGGGGGGTTTGTGTTTCCTGTTTACACGCTAATGAAAACGTGTGTTCACATGCGTGCTTTTCACGATGGCCCGGAACCACTGCGGAACCCATGTGAAAAGCTCGTTCTTGAATTCAGCCAGGACTTGACACGGTTAGCACAGAGCTAGAAAGCGTGGCGGACGGAGTGTAGGACCGGGGGCTGGTGTTCACATAGGACTGGACGGTGTGTGGTGAGAACGTCACCGTCACCGCCAGGGAGCCTGGTGGCTGTAGATGGGACACTTGGGGAGTGGTGACTGCCTCTCGCCCCTTCTTCCCACGCAGCCTTCATTCCACAGGCCTGTCTTGCGGGGGAGGGCAGGGTGGGTATGAGAGGGTTGTGTGGTCGCTGTCACCCGCCTGAGGAGGACAAGGGACCCTGCCTCCCTCCGCCCTGTCACTCGGATCTTTTTGGTTGGTTTTCCCCATGGATTCTGGAGGTGGCCTCTTTCACAGATGAAACCAGTGGTTTGGGGCGAGGGCAGCCTTGTGATCCTGGCACCAGCCTGCAGCCTGGGGAAAAGGGGGGTTCGGGGGGAGGAAGCACCGCCCACACACTGACTCCAGCACCTCCAAGCCTCCTTTTATCAGCGTTTTATTCTCCATCCCTATTACCTTCCCGTCAGAGAGGGCTTTTCCCAGAATTGAACTCCAAACCGGACTCCCGACCTGGGCCGAGGGCTGTGTACGCGCAGTGAGGTGCCGACATTTCCCCGCCTTTTCGAGAGGAGCTCTCGGGCCACAGCCGTGCCGATGGGTAAAGGCATTTGTTGGCACGAAGAACCACTTAGGAGGTAAAACGGAAACTGCTTATGGGAGCACCAGAGGCCAGGAAAGGCCACGCACCGTCACATGGGCCCGGAGGCGTGTGGGGGCGCCCAGCCCACCTGAGGGTTCGTACGGTGCCTGCTGATGCTACCTCCCG